TCATTAAGCTGTTATTGAATAGTTTCAGAGGTAAAATGTAATTATTAATTTTTGTTTGCATCCTTCTCTTTGCAGGGAGCTGAATGGGAATAACCTCACACGAATCACTAAGAGTGACTTTGCTGGACTGAAGTACCTCAGAGTTTTGTAAGTACTCACCTTCTGTTTATGGGCAGTAATGAATTGTTTGTACAGTAGGGGTATCTCTGGAGCATGTTGGTGGCTGAGTTTATCTAGCCATGCATATCTGAATTGTATCTACCCTAGCAGTTTGCAGCTATACTGACTTTCTGCTGATATTAGCATAAACCCACTGAAGTGGCAATGCATTCATCAAGAGTCCTACTCCAAAGTACATTAAGCTCCTGAGTGACTGCAACCACTGATGTAATGGCCTTCTCTCTCACTGTATTCTGCCTGTTGTAGTTGCACTTTACCGTCCCTTAGACACACACATGCTCACTTGCCCTCTGTTCCCTCACATCAGCATGTAATGTGCACACAAGCGCCAGTTCTAAATGGGCTCTCAACACAGCTAACACATTCAGGTGAAGTCATCAATTCCCTCTCCTGTGAAATTAAACAGCACTTGTGACTTCGGGTAATAAAGTAGTTATAAAAGTTTCTCTGTGTGTATGTGCACACAAACTGGTGAGCACTGCTATAGGTGTTAAAAACGCTGCTAAAGGGGAAGCGCTGTAGACCCGAACATGTTTTAAATGTAACATGATCTCAGCATAATTCCTATTACCCTGCAAAGTCTGACTGTTTTCAATCCTCATGGTTACTCGCCCATCCCCCCTGCCCATTTTTTCCCTCCTGGTCCCAACGTTTCTCGTCCCTTGTTGTCTTCCTAAGCATGCCCCTTTTTCTGCACCACCTCCTACCCTCATGTGGAGGTTAAATGCCTTCGTGTCGACAGCTTGCTTCTAGCAAGTAAGAAGGAAACAACTTGCAGGGCTACCAAAAACAGAACTTCCCTTGCTGTTAAGCTTGTGATCCACCACAGTAAGGCACATATACATACACACACACACACACACACACACACACACACACACACACACACACACACACACACACACACACACACACACACACACACA